AGTTTTCGATTCAGTAAATGAGCTCAATAGTTTTCATGTCAGTTTATTTCTTAGATATTACAGTATCCATTTGTTACATGACATTTCCTTTTTCCATATGCCGCTCTGTCAATAATTCTCATTACAGGGTATCCAAAGGGCAACAACAACAATTACGCCAGGTAGTTGGGAGTATTCTATATAGATACTCACACAGACGCGCAAAACCATTGACACATGTACCCGTACACACACACACACACACACACATAGCACACACACTCACGTCCGTTGGCTTGAGCTAAAAATTAGGCTGGATCCGGTTGCAACCGCCGTTGTCATGTAAACGTTTCCATAATCCAAATGAAACGCTTGAAGATGTAACTAGAGCGCGATTTTTCATGACACGCCCACTCGCAAGACCGAGCACGCCCACCACCCAGCGCCCATCGTCCCCCGCCCCGTTCCGCCCTTCGTGGACAAGCGCAGTTGTTAGATTTTTGTTTTTATGATATTCCTCTTCTATTTCATTCATTTTTTTTCTGCTTCTGTTTTTCGTGTGTTTTTTGGTGTTTTTGTTTTTTTGTGTGGGGGCTGGGGCAGGGCTATGAGACAAAAAAGGATTTCGCTGTCATCTTTAGCCAAATGCCATTTGACATTTATGTTGGCCCCGTCAACCAGTCAGCCACGCCCCCACCCCCACACGCCAGCACCCTCCGACCCTTGACCCCTCAGTGCTTTGCTGGTTTTGTCTCGCTGTGATTTGCTTTTTTGTCACATTAAATCTTGTTTATGATGTTTAAGCACTTTAATTCCGCTCGATTAAATTGCCATAATGACAGACTGCGCCAAAATGTTCATTCCGTTTTTCGTTCTCCATACTTTTTATGCCCGTTCAGGGTGTTGCATGAAGAGTATATAGGTTTTGCAAGTGAAATCTTTTATGAATGTTGTAATCGATCCATATTGATGTTCTATTCATATAGTATATATTGAATCATTTATAGGAAGATCGTTTATTATTGCATGTTCACCGAATGCTTGATAGGAATTGTTCAAATGAATGACTGAAACCGCGAGGCAATGAGAAGTTTATTTAAATCTTATGAAAGTAGTGGCTAGATAATATGATATATTATTCGGATATTAAAAACATATCCGAAAAAGTAAAATAAAAATATATATATATCTATTTTAATCATTCTCATTTGAGAGTGAGTGCTTGAAAGTAATCTAAGATTTGTCAATCCAGAATTACCATATGGATTGCATAATAAATTCTTTTAATTTCAAGCACTTCAAATGTGGGATATATCTAAACTCCTGCCATATCATTACATATGCATATTCTATTGCGCTCCTCTATGACTCTATCATTAGAGGCAGTTCAGCATCAATTTTGGACTCTAGCTTGAAAACCTTTTATAGTTTTCGAAATTGGGTTCTGGATAGACCCATTAATATCTCAGTTAGCTGAACGAGTATTCTGTCGCCGACTTTCCTGTTTGTCACTTGTTGTGTCTTACCTTTTTTTTTGGCACGCTGAAAAGCAAAGTGAAAAACGCAGAGGCGAATAAGCGGGCAGATAGACAAAAAGCCAAAAAAGCAAAAAAAGAAGAAGAAGAGAAAAACAGAAGGCGGCCACAAAGGAAAACGGGACAAAACAGCTGGCAGCTGCATTAACTTCAATTGACTGTAATGAGCATCAAGTGGTGAGGGTCAGGACGTTGGCTTGTACCGCTTCATCATTATCATCAGCGTCATCATCATCGCCATCGTCATCATCATGGGCAGCGGCTTTTGGGGCATGCGGCACAATGCTCCATTTGCTGCAATTCGTCCATAAAATTTAAGTGTGCATTTTGTCGCTCTGCCTGTTTGCTCAACATTTTCAATGTGTTTGATCTTTGGGTTGTTGTTGTTGTTGTCGTTGTTGTCGTTGTTGTTGCTGTAATAATACCCTGTATTTTGGCTAGTGTGTACTGAGAGTTTCAATCGATTTGAAAGTTCTTGTAATATAAAGTGAATATACGCATGTGCGAGGTGTGCCCAAAGGATTTGTCTTTATTTATTTATTTATTTATTTTTTATGTTTATCAGCTATTCCTTTGTCCCAAAATCGAATAACTGCATTGTCGGGATAAGTAAAGAATAAGATAGTGCCATGGCCTGGCCTATATAGAACTCAACTTGATAAATGGATAATTTAATGGTTGCTGCTCCTAAAGATATTGAGGATTCTGGGATCAGTATAGGTTTTATGTATATAAGAAAAACTCTACAGATCCTAAATCTTATACTTTTTCATCTCCCTCTATATATCATTTTAAGCAGCTGAGCTGAGCGATTAAAGAGCTGCAGTGCCATATATCATCTGATATTTATATACCCAATAGACCATATTTAAAGGGAATTTTATCTAAGATAAAGGTCAATGAAAGCGAGCAAAAGTCAAATGTAGTTCCCTGCCAATCGGAGTAACAAATTTTTTCTAATTTTGATACAACTTTGCTCTATTGGTTTTCCTCATGAAATATTTGCATCAAGCTTTGCATTGTGAATGTTTTTAAAGGGTATTTGGGCTACGTGCCTCCCTCTCTCTCTCTCTTACTCTCACTCACTCTGACTTGCTTGTTGCTGTTGTTGCTTTTAGCCAAAATGTATTGGCATGTTTTAATTAAACGAAATTGCTTGTATCCATTGATGGCCTAATACGAACGCCAGGCTTCAATTCTGTCTCCTAACTGCCTACACTCCTCTGTCTCGCTCTCTCTCTCTCTCTCTCTCTAGCTATCTCTATTGGCATGCTCTAATTTCTACATAGTATATACTGTTCAAGTTGTTGGGTTATTTGGCCATGTGTAAAGCCTGTCTGAGCATCATGCAATTAGTTAACTTAAAGTATTTAGTTTTGCTCACAGAGCTTGTGGCATTTTGATTTAACTCAATTGTTTTATTTGATTTCTTTAAACAAACATTTATGACAAGTATTTATCCGGCGCGTGTTTTATGCATTTGCCAAAAAGTCAACAAAAGACTCTTAGGACATGAAGTCAAATTTGTTTCCATACGGACGAATATTCCGAGCATATTTTTTTCGAGCCCATTGAGTATTCTGAGCTCTTCAAACATTTCAATTGATTTGAGTTCTTTGAATTTGAGTGCTTTTGGCACTCGAAGTATTTCCCCGAATATCTCGAGTGATTCGAGTATTCCAGTTATTTTGAACTCTCCAAGTCCAAGCAGCTCTGGTTTATTCCGTGCTAGTATTCCGACCGAGTTCTTTGACCTTTGCGCGTATTCCGAGTACTTCCAGTTCTTCGAATACTCAGAGTGACTTGTTTCCTGTGAGCTCTCTGACTATTCCCAGCTTTTTTCACCTCTTCGAATGTACCTTCCTAATTCATAATATAACTGTTTCGAATACTCTGCTCAAGCGTGGGATCACTCCGAATACTCTGAGCCTCGAGCTCTGGGTCTACTAAGAGTTCTCAAAATACAAATATTGTACCGCATGATCCGAGGACTCCGAGTGTTCAGAATATTCTTGCTTATCGATTTTCCTAAATACTCTGACCTTTCCAGGACTTTTCCAAGTACTCCGAGCCATCTGTATACCCCAAATAACCCACATATTTCGAGAGCTTGGAGAGACTTTAATTCCTACTTACAGCTTCTACTCCGAGCTCTGATTATAGCTTACCAAACACTCAAAATTCTCTGAAGTCTTCTAAAGTCTATCTTAAATTACGAATTAGGTTTATAGTAGACTAAATATTTCAAGTAGCTTGAAGTGCATTCAAAACATGCTTTCATTAATAAGCCACGCCTCATCGAGTTAATTCTCGCATCAACCTGAGAGCCAACAAAGGGAATAATTATTATTATGTATTATTATTATGTAATGCTAACCGCTCCATTTACAACTTCTGATCGAATCAACACGTTTCATTCACAGGTAAATGCCGATGCCATAATTCCACACAATTGTTTCGCTAGAGCAGGAAAGCTCAAGCAAAACCCACTAAAAGTCAGCTAGCTATAATTTATGCACGCACACACACGCACGCCAAGCGATAGTGTGTGTGTGTGTGCTTGGCTTTTTGGCAGTTTATGCCTTGAGTGGTGAGTCCCGCTGCTGATGATAAGATAAGCTTCAATAGAGGCCCAAACTCCTTGTTGTTGGTAAGTGTTTTGTATTGAGCATTGTGCGTTCCTTCCCCTTCCCCTTCCCCTTCCCATTCCCCATCCCCCTCGACATCTTGCGCTGCATATATTGTTTGGTCGCTGTAATGCCATAACAATCAACAGAAATTACGCTAAATGACATGCTCATTACGGCTCTCAATGAGTCTGCGAAGAATGGGAGACTGATGGGCGGGGCCGGTGGGCCGGCGGGCCGGCGGGCCGTGGATGGCGTCAGGCAAGCCACAACAAAGCAAAAAGTTATTGCCTACTTATGAGCGCCGCTGATGATCGAGTCGAGGCTGAGCCCCTGCCGCCCATTTATTATTTAAATAATCATATATAAATAAGCGCTTCAAAAGCGTTTTACAACACTTTAACAACACTCACACACACACACAAACACAGAGGGCAAGACACAGGGCACATTATTATGATTATTTGCATATAAAAAGTGTTCATTATGTTGTAAGCAACCGAAAAATTTGCGCTGCTTTCTGGCATTTTTGTATACCCTGTAAATGCAGTGATAGCTGAAGGGGGCCGTATGGTTACCATTGAAGAAATGTAGCACCTGAGCTAAGTTGCCTGGAAATACTAAAATTATTCATCAAGATGTGTAACATCGTATACCCTGTTAACTAATGATAGTTCATGTAGGGTATATACAAATAATATGCTTTGCCGCAGCACGTTGATTTTTTCTATTGAAAGGCCAAAAAGTGATTAGCTACCCTGTAAGAATAGCAGTAAATACAGGGTATATGCCCTCAAAGATTTTACTTGCCCATTGAAATGGTTTAAATCAAATATGCACTTCCTGTAAAGCAATGGTAGCGAATGCTGGGCGTATCAGGAGTCTGAGGTAATGTGACACACTTGGACTAACTTATATTAAAACCGTTAAGTTGCTCATGAGATTGGAGAAAAGTTTATGCTCGACAATTTACATACTCTGTAAAGCAATAGCAGCACATTTAGGGTATATTGGGCACATTAACTAATATGTGACAGTAATACACAATATTGGTAGCAGCCATGTAATTTGCCACTCGCATACCCTGTAATCACTGAAATAAAATATATATTATTGAGCTTCTGCCAGAGTGCCAAAGGCTAGGAAAATATCAATTAAAATTTTAAGCACACAAAATATTGCTTGCCCACGAATGCTATACCCTGTACTTGACGAAAAACTAAAGAAAGATGTGAAATTTACCGTGTAGGGTATATTAGCAACTAATGCTTGTGATTATAGGAAAAATTAATATTTTTAAATTATAAATTTTTAGCTTAGCTGCTTACAGGGTATTACTTAGTGTATGCGCGCAAGTCATTTTTTGCTGCTTTCAAAAGTTGTCCACTAAAATCTGTGACGCATTTGACTCGATGAGCCGAGACGAGCAGCTATACACAAAAAAAAAAAAAGAAAAGAAAATGCAAGAAAAATGAGCTGAGCCTTATTTTCGGGGGGGCATCTTTGTAACGGCTCTTTAAATGGTTTTATTGGCTCTCAAATTGGCTACGGGCTGAGCCGAATCCGAAACAGAAACCGAAACTGAAACTGAAACAGAAGCAGAAACAGAGCACTGAAATATTCTACATAAAGTAAAATTATATTGCGACGACCAGCTAAAATCTGGCAAAAACTTTGCATCGGACGATGCTTTTGAAGTTTTTGCGGGTGTACCGCAAAAGCGCTAGCGCTCCTGCCACTTCCACCCATATTTCCCTCATCTAAAAGTGAAAGTGAAAGTGAAAGTAAAGTGTAATTAGGTTTATTTTGTGTTGCGTCTGCAAATGAAATGCCTGGGCCGACAGGACGTTGCCAACAAAATAGCTAACGCTACGTAAAGAAAGAGAGTGAGAGAGAGAGAGAAGGAGAGAGCGAAAGAGAGAGAGAAGCCAGGAGAGACAGGGCTTGCGGGTGTAGTTAGGGCCGTAAGGTAGCCTTCATTATTGGCTCAAGCGTTGCGAAGCCGTAAAATTTAATAGACTTGTAACTACAATTTCAATGGCACATGCAAATCCACATTTTGGCCCATCAAATTGGTTTACGGCCAAACAATAAATACGAAATTAGTTGAGAACTGTGAAAAGGACATCATGTCAAGGACTGCACATAAGCCAGCTTCACATTGACAGTCAATACTCTCAATTACATCCAAATAAGAGATATCCAATAGATGTACTACTATATGTTGATATATATATATATATTATATATGTACATATGTACATATCTGTGACAAATCTGTGTYTATTTCGATCAACTCTATGTGGGTAGGCGGCTTGTTTCATCTAGTGCGCGCCGTGACATGGTTATATACCAAAGGCTTTACGTTAAATAATACCATGAAATGCTCTACAGCCATCGTATCGACTGTCAGTCATCAGCTGTCAGCTGGGCGTGCAGTCCGATGACTGTTTGATTGGTTGTCGATTGTTATCTGGCCATAAATAACTTGGCTGTCCCGTTACTTATATCAAAGATTATTAAAGACAATGCAAAAATGCCGCACCCCATTGAACAGTGTGGAAAAAGCAAAAACAAAAGCAGACAAATCAAATCCCACCGCCCCAATCAGTGGACACATCCTAATCTTTCCATAAGCATTTGATGTGCCGCAAATAATTTGATTTGCATTCTGTTGTCCCAGTGGTTCGCATTGATTTGTCGTTAAACACTTATCCCCCTCGCCCCTTGCCAACTCCTCAGCTCAGTCCACAGAGCAAACTATTCTAATATAGCTCAATTATCGAGTTCTTCCCTCTCACTTGACGATGGGACAAATATAAATCTGGGGCTCGATAGTAAAATATAAATCATGTTTATATCTATCAGAGCTTGTTTGAATAATTTATGAGAGACTTATCAATTTGCTGACGCTTTTATTCTAATCGACCAAGGTCACAATGTGATTAGCGTATTAAAATTCAGAAGATTGACTGATTGATGAAATGAGTAATTGATCGTATAATTAACTGACAACGGAGCGTGTGATGTAATCTAATCTATCTTGATTGATTAACTGACTGAAAGCCTCGAATCTGCTGTGAAGGACATCTATATGTCTGAGTGATTGATTGATTGATTAGATGATTGATTGATTATAGGAATAATGCGCTGAATGCTGGAAAATCATGTAAAATGATGATGATTCAATCTGCCTTAGTTGAGTGACTCACAGCGAATTGTTTGACTAAATAATTGACTGCTTGATTGATTGTTTCATGAATTGATTAATAGCTTGATTGATTGACTGGCAGCTCAGTGATTGATTGCCTAATTGTTGTAATATTTATTTGAATATGCCTTATTTATTTGCTGATGTGTTTGATTAACTAATTGATTATCTATTTGTCTGCGTGATTGACTGATTGATTGATTGATCGGCTGATTCAGAGGCAAAAGAGATGGTTTTGACTGACGAATAACTGTGCATATGATGTCATAGGCTTATCTGCCTCTATTATCTACTGCAAACGTTAAATTTGCCTTGATTGACTGCTTAATAAGCTACCCCACTGATTGATTGACTAATAACTCATATAGGAAGCCTTGATGTTGAGCGAGATATTGTTCGATCCCTTTTTCTAGCCATACAAATTCTGTAAAATTAATACAAGTTTATCCTTCAGTAAACAATTGAGAATCTATTCATCTTCTGGTAATTGTGCTCTTCTAACTGTGCTCAGCGCATGATTCGAATGCCTCAAGTGAACAAGTCAAGTTGAAATTTGCCCCATGAATCTACTTAAAGAAGCTCAATTACTTGCATTTACTTAATGTAAAGCTCTGCTAAATTTAAGAAGAAGATGAAGAAGAAGAAGTAAAAGAGAAGGCGGGAAAAGCAGGAAAAGAAATACCAAAGCTAATTTTAGGTAGTTAAGTAATCTGTGCAAAAATTTCCAAATAATTACGAGGCGTATCGATGACAGCTTCAAATTGGGCTGCCAAGCTATTTCCAATAAAAGCAGATTTTGCTGCTGGGCGAAACAAAAATAATAAAAAAGCAGAGTGAATGATTGACTGACTGACTAACTGACTGACTGACTGCCTGGCTGATTGACTGCGTGAGGGACTACTTTAAGCAGCGGCAAACATTAGCATAAACCTGGGCTATCATTTCCAAGTACGTTTGTGTATAAAGCAGCTACTCCTGCTGCTTCTACATGCTCCTCCTGCTGCTCAACCTTTTGCTGCTGCTCCCTGTTTTTATTGTTGTTGCGTCTAGTGTTTCGCCTGCTTTATTTTATTTATTTATTTATT